GATTTTAAATGATGATACATGTTTTCACAAAAAGACTTGAACACCCTCACATGAAATCAATTGTATAAAATGGAAATGAATTTTATATCCTATTGAGATTAATGAATTTAGTTTACCAATCTTGTGAATCTCATGAAAATAAATATGATGAATATTTTAAAAATAAATGAGTGCATCATGCATTTGGTCTTAATGATTTCTCTTGAACATACTTTTTGAAATCATATTTGATAATGAATATCAAGATATTAAAAGGATGTTATCATGGAATCATGCTTGATAATTTATTTTATGAAATTTACCTTTCTATCTTGAATGTTGACATTTTTTTTTAAGCAAAGGCATGCTCATAAAAAGCAAATCACATGAATAGAAATTTATAAAAATAAAATGTAATCCTCTATCTTATTGATTTTTCAATAAATCTATGCTTGTCATATATGAATTTATTGAATGTAATTTTGAGGATGATTTCAGATTTGATAAATGCTTGATTCGTATTTACGACATAAGATACATTTTAAATATGAATCATGCTTCAATCATTTTCTATCTCTAGAGTTCTCTATTTTGATGAAATACAAGTGATAAATTCATTTATGATATCTTGTAAATCACTTGAATTATGAATGAGTTTTATATGATGTGTTAAAAGAATCACTTAAAAAGAAAATGCTTTTCCCATCTTATCGAGATTAATGATTTCATGATATTGTGTGAATCTCGAAATTGATTTTGATGAAATAGTAATAACGTTATTCATGTTTGAATCTCAAAAATGATAATTTGATTATGATTTTTTTTATGAAGTGTAACTTGTCTTTTGATTTCTCATAAATCAATGAAGTGTCATATTGATATCTTGATACTTGGAATATTTTAAAATGTGATCTTGATAAGAATGTTTCAAGTTGCTCTTTGTACTATATCTTTTCAAATGAATCATGAGCCTTGATATCATATATTTCATAATATAGAAATAACAAGATTTCTTTGCCTTGTATGTCTTGTGTGATGATTGTACATCAATTTACTTTATTATGAATTATATGAATCTTGATCGTGAACTTATTAAGAAGAATTTTAATGAACCATGAAGCATATCTTTGGTATTCACGAATTGATCCTTATTGATATCTTTCATGAATTCTTTGCATATTTGGCTTGTTGAATGGTTGAAATTTTTAGTCATTGAGTTCTCCCTTCTTTTCGATAATGATAAAGGGGGAGTTAGTTTACTAGCCTGTATATTTCAAAGGAAGAAAAATTTGCTAGCTCGATCATTTCATTGAAAGAACTAGCTATCATGAACACTACCAATGAATTACAAATCTTGCAATATAAAGAGAAGCAAAGAATTACAATTTCGAAAGAAGCAAAAAATGTAAAACTTAGAAAACTTGCAATATAATTGCTCTTGCCATGCTTTGTATCAAAAATAAGTTGATATCCTTAAAAACATCGCATTAAAGTTTTTAGTGTATCGCAATGTATCACATGTATCACAAATTGAAAATTTTGAGATTATTATCATATCATGTTTAACAATTAATATCTTTAATTGATATGATAAATTATCATCTCATGATATATCGCATAATTATATCTTTCGGATGGATTTAAGTCGAACACTAAGGCCGTCATTCCTCATGTTTCGAGTCAGACTGCACCGAGTTGGCTCTTTCAACCATCTTCGATCCCCAACTTCTTCTACTGAAATTATAAATTAAAATGTACATATGAACATGTGGCATGTCAATAATAAATATTCTCTTCAGTATGCATTCATCACCCATGGTAGCTCATTAACACTTATTCTGTGAGATCTTTTCAATTCCACTGATTGTTTTGCTAACGCGAGTTCGAACCAATCAGATTGATCGAGACATCATCAATATTTCTAGTATCTATTACAACAAGCTACCGGAGCTAACCATAGATATTAAAAGATGATAAATTAGTAGTACATGATATTGCGTAGTAAGTAAAATGCACTATAGAGACAAAGGAGTTGCAGTGGGGGAAAGAAAAAAAAAAAAAAAGAAGGAAGAAGAAAACAAAACAATCAGCAACGCTGCCACCTGATCCACGGACTATGTTATAGCGGAAGCAGGGGAGGTTGAGAATGGGTGAAGGGTTTGGTGCAGCTCTAATATGACGGGTTTCTTTATCCTCTGTCTTGAAATAGAAACCTTAAATCATCATCAAAGGTATTGCATCAGCAATGGGAGCCCCTGCGGCAGTTTAGAGCGCCCGCATCAGAAGTGATGGAGCCGACCATGGACGAGGACTTGGCTCCCAGGCTGGAGGCCTTGGCATAACTCGCAGAGGCTCCAGCTCCGGAGGGGGTGAAGTAGGCACCGTTCAGCAACAGGTCACCCTCTGATCTCCAATTCCAACCCTTCCACTCACTTTCATCCGTGTCCACCCTCTTGGTGACCTGTTCAACGCAAGAAACCCATGTAACATACGGATCGACTCGAGGAGTGTAAGACATCCATGTTGTCTACCTCCTTGGCAGACTGGTCGACGGGGGCAAGGTATCTATTGCCTTGGCTGTTGATGGTCGGGTCGGCACTTCCACCGATGGCGTACATCTCCCAATGGGTGTAGTCGTTGTTCACCACATGGAAGTAGCCATGCCTGCACCTGTAATTAACTTGGGAACTCTAGTAAAACTTGCAGACTTGTGGGTAAAGCTGAAAGGTATGTCTTGGCTAAGAAAGTTTTACCTTGGCATTCTTTGAATGAGACCTTCGCCGAAGTGGTTGTAGGCGATGGTAACTTGCATGGCCTTGTCCCTGACATAAGAATCACTGTGGCCCAAAAGCATCACCTGCATCAGGCGAACAGAGTTGGCTGAAATTAGAACAACCCCCGGAGCAGCTTTGCATTTTGCGAATACAAAAGGGAGGGATCGAGGAGGGTACCTCGTTGTGGTGGGTGAAGTAATTGTTGGAGATGGTGATGGCGGTGGATCCCATAATTGCATCGACGAGGCCGTCGGCGCAGTTGGACAGAGAGTTGTGGTCGACCCAGATATGGCTCGCCCCGAACATGGACACCGCGTCCCCGTCGGCCATCGTCCTCCAACCATAGTGGGAGGGGGAGCTGCGGACCATGGCGTTCCCGGTGGGCTTGCAGTCGTGGATGTGAAGGCCGTGGATGATGATGTTGGTGACGAACTGGATGGTGATGCAGGCGCCGTTAGCGATGTGGACGTCGACGCCGCGGCCGTCGATGGTCTTGAAGCTGTTCATGATGAGCTCCTGCTTGAGGGTGATGACCATGCTGCGCTTGAACACGATCCAGAGGGGCTCCTCCTGGATAACCGCGTAGCGGAGTGTGCCGTGGCGTGGGTTGACGGGGTCGTCGTCCCCGGGGTCGGTCACCACGTAGAAGCGGCCGTCGCGGCCGCCGATCGCGTTGCGGCCGAACCCGATACCGCAGTCGGCCAGCCGCTTGCGGTGGCGGTGCCACTCGGGGTCGCAGCGCCAGCAGTCGTCGATGGGGTTCCCGGTTCCGCACGACAAGTATCCGAGGGCCCGACGGGACGTGCTGTTGCTTATCATCCTGTCCCAACAAAATCATGATTTTGATTTCTTAATGCTAGTGTTCATCCATGGTGAATACAGAGGGGGTGTTGATGGATGGGAGGGCGTATGGGGGGTTAACTGCAACATTACTTCTCGCTCGGGGGAGAGTGCGGGAAGAAGGCCATGTGCCGCTGACATGGTTGCGTGGGGGTGACGGGATCCATCCATGGTACCACCACATGGTCGAGGTACGGGCAAGAGGTTAACTAATTGGGGAGGTGGGGTAACACTTAGATTGGCGATTGGAGAACTAGAAATGGGATTAGTATCTGGTAGTCGACATAACAGATTTCCATATTAGCCTTCCATTTAATGGCCCGTACAAACCCCAAAACCTGGATTTATTTATTTATTTATTTTAATTCTTGTACCTTTTTATTTAATAGTAATAATAATAATAATAAATGTGGATTACTTAACGTGGAAAAAATGTGACCTAAATTTCAAGAGAGTTTCGGCTCGAGATTGAATACGGAAAAAAGAAAGTCCGATTAATCATAATCATGGTTAAACTTGTAAATTACTGGGAAAAAGAGTGAATTCGAAGGAAGGTGGAAACGAGAGGACTTACATGTCCACTTCGGATGCGACCAGTTCTGGATCGTCCACGGCTCCCACCCTCGCTTCTCGCCCAGCAGTACTGTTCAAGAAAAAGAATCCAAATGATTAAGTTGATGTTTCTATACGATCGACAAAAGTAATGCGTCCGATTTGGGTGAAAACAAAGAATTAAACCGCTCGGGATGGTGTCCGTCGTTCCGAATTCCAACGAGAATGAGAACGACGGATATAGAAATTGCGTTGTGGATTCCAAGAAATGGACCAAAAGAATTCTGAGTTCTGGTGGTGGATCGAGATCTTGGAGGAGGGAAGATTCGACTTGGCTGCGACTTTTTATTCTCGATAAATTGATGTCCTAACTTTCCTCCCAAAGAAAGCGAAAACAAGGGATTTGATCAAGGGATTCAAACGGTTTTGGCTTTACGAATGACACCGCCTCTAGCTGACAATGGCGGTCCAGATCTCTTCTCCGGCGACATCGACGGTCCAGTTTAATTGAAACAAGATGAAGGTGATGTTGATTACAGTACTGACCTCCTGGCCGCAGGGAAGGACTCGTTAGCCGCCTTCGCTCTCGAGCTCTTTCTCGCCACGTCCGTCGCCGCTGCTCCAATTCTAGAAGAGGAAAAGGTGGTACATTAAAGCTTCATATTTAGCTACAGTCGATCTTAGTTACTACAGAAAAGAATATGGAGGATGAATGGAGAAAGGCGAATCTTGAAGCTTTGCCTGATCCCATTACAACAATTAATAGCGACATGATTAATCGGAGATGAATCGCTACGGGATTTTACTCTTCTAGATCATTATATCAGAATCTCTTTTCTGGAAGGTGAAGTATCTTCTCTGCTCTTTCTTTTCTTTTGCCCTGTACTGGTGGCAACACCTCCCAATTTCCTCGAGAAAGTAAAGAACGTGGAATTCATGCAGGAAAGGGCGGTGGAAAATCCTCTGTTCCATGTACATTGCTTTCGTTTCGCCTAAAATCCCATCATTAAACATTCTAATAGAGCCAAAACCAGAACTTCTCGATTTGATTCCTCTCAGAGCACATATATCGTGAGATTACTTGGAACAAGAAGCTCTTCCAGCAAATGAAGGAAGACGAGAAGGGAATCTACCTCGAAGCGGACACGGTGTCGCCTCCGAACCACCCCATGCCTCCGGCAATGATCACCAAATGCCCAAGAACTAGCAATAGGGAACACCGCATTGATCCCACCGCCATTCCTCTCTGTTAGAATCTCCTAGATCTAGTCGGGGAAAGAAGACGGGCGAGGGAAGAGAAAGACAGAGGAAGACTATTAAGAGAGCAGAGGAACCGCCGTCTTATAGAGAAGTCGGGCGTTCCGCTACTTGCCATCACCGCCACTCCTAACTTAACCACAGTCACAATGGTTCGGTAATTACCAGCACGAACTATTCTAACTGCCGCTAACGGAATCGTCAGGAAGGGCACCGACGGGGTGGCGTCCGCACGCGACATGTGCGAGCGGTGTCGGTTGGTCACGTGCGAATCTGACCGACTCCGTTATACTTTTCCTCGCTTCCGTTATTTAACGTCTCGAATTATACTTTTAAATGATCAACCAAAGTGGGGGAAAAAAAGGGGCTTTTTGCCCGCAAGTGCGGTGGACGGAACCATGCAACGCTCCACCGTCATGGTGTCGCCTTGGATCAACTCGATCACCATCCCATCTGCTTGTGAGTCGCATCTCAGACGTGGAGTGTCGGTCATTCAATTCGATGTCGACCGTTCTCTTCCCGGAACATATCAACGTCTGTCTCGAGACTCCGTCACCAGTAAAAAGCGAAAACAGCTCGATCTACATCGTTTTTATTACTTATTACCCGATAGTTCCAGGACTCATGTACCTCAATTTGTGTCGACGTCATTGAGCAATGATTTGTTTGTGACAACTCGGCGCAAGCATTCTCGAGTGCATTGTAAGACTGTAAGTCGCAGGAAGCATGTGAATCCGTGAAAGAAACAACACAGTCTGCACAGACCCATGACTCGGATCGGCGCCTCAAATAATTCTTGCGTCCATGTCTTCTGATGGGTGAGAGATCTGAGAACGTCAAGTTCTGTAACTTGTTCTTGCGGCATCCTGATGGAACCCCAGTAGTCCTTTATGGGGACACACGAGCAAATGAAAGGGGAGTGTGGCGACAATGAAAAGGAAGTTGATGAACCTTTGCTTGTTCGATAAGCAGGCGGAGCTACTGTCAGTGCTGTGATGATCGCTTCGGTTCACGATGGCACACAAAAATCAACGTCGCACCAAACATCGATGAAGAGATGGCACAAGCAGTAGTAATTGGTCCGTCGAGCTTTGTTTCAGATTGAGTTATTGCTCCAACCCCAAGTCAAAAGGTTTTAGTTGTAGTTCTGACCGACTCCCGCCATTAATGACGGGGCCGAGCTTGATTACCGGGGAGCCAATTGAAGAGGGAAGATTGGAGTAGAAGGTGTTCGGTGAAGACTACTCTAGTCTATGCAATGATGCCCACCAAAAGCTTGGAGCCCACAGAAAGAATTAGATGGATGCATGCTCACATGGCAAGTAACGAGCATTAAGGCTGGATTGACGCCCCAGAGCTGGTGACCTCCTCCTTTCTTCATCCTTTCCTTTTCGCTCATGAGAAGTCTGTAGATTTAGTAGACTTTGTTCAGAGAATCTGACGGTCACTGCCGAGTCTCTTTCTCTGTTTTTGAGCACCACATGGTACGGAAAACCTTTCCGATGCCATGCTACCTAAACCGTACTGCTAGCGACATCAAACCGTCCGTCTTATCCTGTCATCTCTTCCTTCTCCTGTATGCTACAGCATCAGTGACAGCACTGTGTATGATCGATGGGACTGTAGACTTTCTTAAAAGAAGAAGAAGAAGAAGAAGAAGAATGTGTAAGTCTGCATTTAATTGCGTAGCGCTGTTTAGCTCTCTCTCTCTCTCTCTCTCTCTCTCTCTTAATTTTATGTTGATTCACACTGGTTGTCATGAGTCGTAGCTTCATGTGGGAATGAAACACGAAGATTGGAATGCGACATACAGGATGCTTACGCCTGAACGAGTCCACCAACAAGCAAGAGATCAGTGGGATCCTAAAAGAAAAGAAAGTGTGTGGGAGAGAGTCACTTAATTTGAGAACAGAGAGAGTTCACTCACTCCATTTAGGCACGTAGAGGATTAGATCGACCTAACATATACGGAAAACATTACAAAAGCGTACGAGATTTGGTTAGATTTGGAGTAACGAATGCTTCGAAGATAACCAGTAACATGATCAGATTAGCTACTTTTGGAGGGTGACCAGCTTTTCTTCCATCTTTCTTCCTTTTAGAAAAAATGTATACAGAAAAGATATCAAAAAAAGCTGCCAAAGATTCAGGTTTGTCCTTACGAAACCATCTTCCACGACCAAAAGGAAAGCATGATTGCTGGAAATGGAAATAGTTCTCACGTCTTTGCTGTTAATCTTGTGCACACAGTCGATCTTATCCCAGGGTCAAAGGTAGAGCTTTTGAGAAGGTCACTCCTTAGAGAGTGCTTCTACTACTGCCTCCTGCGTTCAATCTTTCACATCGTGTCCCAAGTCTTGTGGGCAAGGCGAGCCATACGGATCCATTTGCTCACAAGAACACAGTTCGTATGACTAACATGATGAGCATCTTCCACCGGTAGTTTCAGAGCTGGAAATACAATTGGAGTCAGAGCAGCTGCTGGGTGCAATGGATCATCAGCTGATCCATGGCTTTCATACTACATATCCTTCTGAGTGCTAACCCAAATTATGATGCTACGTATGAACCTGACAAAAGCCTCTGGTTTGGTTTCGGCTAATTTGGCTCGATTAGTCCAACCGGTTCGATCCAATATGATCCATTTGGCAATTGAATTAATTAGGTCGATCTGCTTAACCCAAACTAACACGTATTGACTCATCTAAATCTTTAGCTCGATGCAAACCCAAACACCTTTCTGGCCCACATAAACGGGCCACGGGCGCACGCGAGGGACAGGGACTGCGGCCCATCTCCTCATCACGCGATGGCGACGTGTAATTGGCGGACGAGGCTCGTCGTCGCTCGCGGCTGCCACTGCTGCTTACTCGGAAGTGCTTCCGACGATCTCGACCGGCCAGGGCACACGCCACCTGTTCACCTGAACCGTTGCTTTCCTGCGATCACGGGTGCATCGATCTAAATCACGTCCCCTTAGTAGAAGCGTCCTGCCTCTTCCCTTGGGTAGTTCGGAGGTCGGTCATGGCTTGCAGCATCCCTTCCCAGGGAACCCTCTTCCTCCGCGTCCCCCTCAAACCCTCCCTCAGATCTCTCTTCTCCTCCTCCGCTTTAACCACAAGTACTTCTTGGAAGCCTCTTTTCCGTTCCTCCTCCTCCTCTGTTCTATCCAGGAACGATCGATTTCTCTCAGCCTCCGCATCCTTCGCCGACGACCTCCGCCCGGACCTCGGCGAGAATCCCGAGGGCATCATCTCCGGGGAGTGGCCGGATAATATGTCCCTCATCAACTACGACGATCTCCGCGCCTACCTGGAGACCCAGATCATCAGCCATAAGGTCTCTGTTTTTCTTTCTTCTCTCCTCCTCGTTTCTTCGTTTGGTTGATGTCGATGACTTCCTTCGACTTGTTTTCCTTTGGTATCGACGCAGACGAAGCCGTCGGCCAAGTTGGGGACGGTGATGTCGACAGAGATCCGGACGGCGAGGCCGGAGCAGACGCTGGAAGAAATCAACCACAAGTTCGAGGTCGTGTCCGGTCTTCCTGTCGTCGATGATGACCTGAGGTGCATCGGTGTCGTCTCCAAAAAGGACAAAGCCAGAGCATCCAATGGGGTTTGTTTCTTCCCTGTTCTTATCCCGCCCTTTTTTCTTTCTATAGTCCAAAAATAGGGCTTGCTTTGTGCTAATCGAGTGAAATTGATCTGCCTCAATCCAATCATGTTCTGGCTAATCCTAGGAGGAGTCAACAGTTGTCACCATTGGAGATCGTTTCTCATCCATGGAAAGACAGTCTGACGTTCATATCCCTTACACCAAGGCATTCCAAGAAGCTAACATTTAACTCATAAATTTGAGGATTAATCACGTTTGTCGAGCATAGTTAATTTCTTGTGCTTAATTGAACTTCATTTGGTTGGGAAAGGCATTTAAGACTGAGACTGAGCATCTGAGACTTACAATGAGGAACTCATAACTTCTCTTCTTGAAAATGTAGGATTGATCTTATCTCCACACTTGTCTGAAGATATTTCCCTGGACGTTGATAATAATGTTTCTAGGATTACATGGCTTGAACAAGTTTGTCCAGAGAACTGCAGCATTGGTAACCTTGGTTCAGTCATCATTCATATATGACTCTGTATGAAGAAGCATTTATTTGCACTAAATAGTCATCGGATACTCAATTTTTAGGATAAAATTTTGTTGTGAGCATATTTGATACTTGTTCATTACCGGAGCGCGGGTGCCAACTTGAATGTATAGCTTACTGGTGATGAGGATATTAACATTATTTTGTTTTTTCATTATCCTCGGACTCAGCTATATTTTGTGCTAACATCCAATTATTGTTTAAGCAGTTGAAATCCAAAGTTGGTGAAGTCATGTCTTCTCCCGCAATCATGCTATCGCCTGAGAAGACAGTTTTGGGTAACCTTCTTTACCAAGCATGGTTCTTTGCATGCATTTCTATGGTCAAATTTGGATCAAAATGTTTCCTATGTTCATAATTGTGCAGATGCTGCGGCTTTAATGCTTAAGAAGAAGATCCACAGGATACCGATCGTAAATGAGGAACAGAAAGTTGTAGGTAAGAGCCTCAAATTAAGAGAAGTAACATGTAATGTTCTTTGAGATTTTCAATGACATACCTGATTCTAATTAAGTAATTTGAATTTTCTTAAACCAGGAATGGTTACCCGAACCGACATATTCCAAGTGCTCGAAACATAGGAGGTATAGTCCGTCCTTTGAGCGTGCCCTTCTGTTATGTTTATGAGGAATAAAGTCAAGGAGATGATTAGAATACTATATGGCTCCGACTCGTGGGTTGTGATGCTGTTATTTACTGTGATGAAACTATCTATTGCGGTTGTGGTTATTAGGTCATAATTTTGTAAAGCTTACCATGCTGTTTCCCACTGTCCTACAACTGTTCTTTCAATTGGTATTGTTATCTGATGCTTAGGACAAACCCTTTGTATGTGGGTCCTTTTGCTGTCATTGAAAGCTAAACTTAAGTGCAGCATTAATCGAAACCGACATACATTTAAGAAAATCCAGAAACTAAGCATTTTGGCTCCATCCACTTAAGTCTCCATACTTTGAAGTAGTGATTATATTGTTATGTGTGCCCTGTGTTTTTCTCTCTTGCATTGTTGGTTTAGCCATGAGGTTGTATCGTCTGATCTAAGATCTTTATACTAATTGATGTGGTCCGAGGGCAGTGCTTAATTTCAGGCTTGTTTTATGAGAACTCTATATGTCTTGTGATAAATTATACAATATTGTATTGTTGTAGAGCATCTAGAGTTGTTTAGGGGAAGCTTAACAAAGACCTCGTGAAGGGACAAAAACATGAAGACAATGGTCCAAGTTTTCTTCATTGGATGAGCTGCAGTTTCTTTTGATTGAGATCTGTATCACAAGGATAGATAGCCAATCATGAAACTTGTGGTTAATTGTTCTGATAACTACTAGTCATAGACTCAGTGGATGCTGATGCTGGTGGTGCAGGGTAGCTTCAAGGCCCAAATTATATAACGAGCATGTCCATTAAATTGGTTGCCTTGCAAAATTATTTTACATTTTCACTTGGTCAGCTGCTTTCATAAGCAACGAAACTCGCCCAGAGTGGCATATGCTGTTTGGGTATACTTCCTTGGCTGGCCTTTTATGTTTCTAGAGAGGAATAATTCATATTTAAGCCGCTCTGTACTTAAAAGCAGAATCATAGCAAGCTAATATTGATGGCATTCTGTAAATTGTCAGCCGACGGCCGGGAGCTTCAGCGGTAGCATCGCCACAATGCTGTTCCGGCCGGCATGGTGTTGGAAGACCGCATTGTTTCTTTTGCGTTCTGAAGTGAAACAAGGACTCAGGGGAAGGATAGAGACCGGTAAATAAATGACAGTAAAATTTATAATCATATTTATTCGTCGAGCCCTTCTTTGTTGGTTTGGTAGTCACCTCTGTAGCTCAATCAAGGAGCTCTTCTTCACATCGTGTCTTGCAGATGCAAGGCAATGCTTAGTAGAAGAGCATAGCAAAAGAAGTAGAGCAAATTACAAAGGAAAAAAAGAAAAAGGAGCAGAAGGAAGAGGTACAAATTGTTGTTAGGAAGGATAGGCCGAAGGTGATTTGGACTTGGCGGAAGAGCGGATGCTGGAAGCAGATAAGCTGGAATTGTTACTGGCACTATGACCCAATTGGCACACCCAACGCACTGCTTGACGCCGACGTCGTAGCATCAACTGCCGCACTTGGTTCTGCCTTCTTGAGGAGGAAGTCCACCTTCGCAAACTCCTCCCTTTCATGGCGGATCTCTTTGAGCATTGCGGCCACGTCCTTCATGGTCGGCCGCTCGTCCGGAGTGGCGCTCACGCACAGGAGTGCCACGCCGAGCACCTGCAGCATCTCCTGCACGTGAGTCTCCGGCCGACCTTTGAGGCTCGGATCGAGCACCTCCAGGCTCCCCCTCCGCCGCTGCACCCAGTCCACCACATGCAGCCCCTCGGGGATCGTGGGGTCGATCGGCTGCTTCCCAGTTAGCACTTCCAGCATCACCACGCCGTAGCTGTATACGTCGCTCTTCTCCGTGATCTTCATCATGTATCCATACTCTGCAAACGATTCACCGCAATCAGGCATTGGTAGGTATTCCCTGCAGCAACGAGACAGCAAAATTCGAAACAGATACCAACCAGGAGCAATGTAGCCGTAGGAACCCGCGACGGTGTTCGAGGACCGAGCAAGATCCCCGTCCTCCACGAGCTTCGCAAGCCCGAAGTCGGCCAGGTAGGCCTCGAAGTCGAGGCCGATGAGAATGTTGTTGGCCTTGATATCTCTGTGAACTATCGGCGGAACACAATCATGGTGGAGGTAGGCAAGACCCTCGGCGGCCCCCAGGACGATCTGATACCGCAAGTCCCACTCCAGTGAGAACCCGGTGCGCTCGTGGAGCAGCCCCCCCAGGCTGCCGTTGGCCATGTAATCGTACATCAGCAGCCGGGTGTTCTTGTTCCAGCAGCACCCGAGGAACCTCACGATGTTCTTGTGCCGGATGGAACCGAGCGTCCGCACCTCAGCCGAGAACGAGTCTCTGACTCTGCTGCTGTTGCAGTCCTCTTTGGCCGCCATTTTCCCGGCCGATGCACTCGTTGGCCATAGCTTCTTCACGGCGATGGCTTCCCCGTTATCCATTTGGACGCGGTAGACCACTCCGGAGCAGCCTTTCCCGATAACGTTGGCATCCACCAGGCTACGCACAACCTGGTCCACCGAAAAGCTCAGCTTCTGGAAGGGAGTGAACTGCCATGGCCAAGACATCCCGCCGCCCGTCTCGGAGTCATCGTCTTCGCTGCCATTCCCTGCTGCCATTCTTTTCGCCCTTATAGTTGCGATCAACCCGAGAAGCATCGCGACCGTCGAAGTGATCAGCAGTGCTATGGCTAACTTCAACCTGTGCACTCTTCTGCTCTCCGCCTCTGCCGTCATGATTGGCCGCCCGTTGGCGTCCAAGGTTACGAAGCACACGTCTCCACCGTGGGTGCAGAGCCCCTGGTTGCCGGCAAGATCGGAGGCCGAGAGCTGGCGAAAGAGCTTGGTGTCGGGGAGGTAGCCGGTGAAGTTGTTGTTGGAGACGTTTAGTGTGACCAGGTTTTCTAGTTCAGAAAGAGGTGCGAGACTACCGTCGAGCAGGTTGTACGATACGTCGAGAACCGATAGTTTACTGAGGATAGAGATCTTCTCCGGGATCGGTCCGGTGAGCGCATTCCTGCTGAGATTTAGAGCAATGTCGAGCCCCTCGATGAGGCAGAGGTCATCGGGGATGCCGCCAGTGAGTTGGTTGCTACTAAGGTCAAGCAATTCGAGGTTCAAGCACCGGCCAAGCGAAGGTGGTATCGGGCCGGTGAGTGAATTCCCACTAAGCACCAGCTTGTTTATGGAAGCCAACTTGCCAAAGCTACCGGGGATCGGCCCCGTAAGCTGGTTGAGCGACAGATCGAGTACCTCCAGTCTGGTGATCCAAGATAAGGAATCGGGTACGGCACCGGAGAGCGTGTTGTTACTGAGGTTGACCATTTGGAGCTGGGAGCAGTTGCCGATGGAAGCAGGAACAGGGCCGGTGAGCCGGTTGGCGGAGAGGTCGAGGAAGTCGAGGCTCTTAAGCCCGCCGATCTCGACCGGGATGGGGCCGGCAATGCGGTTGTTGGCGAGGCGGAGTCGAATGAGGGAAGTGCACCTGCCAATCTCGGCGGGTATCGGGCCGGAGATGTCGTTGGAGAGCAGCATGAGCTTGGTGAGGTTGCGAAGGAGGAAGAGGCCGGGGGGCATGGGGCCAGTGAGGTGGTTGTGGGAAAGGTCGAGCGCCTGGAGGTTCGACAGCGAGGCGAGGGAGAGAGGTATAGCGCCTTCGAGCAGGTTCTGCCACGCGAAGAAGACGGCGAGCGACTTGAGCGCCGCGAACTCCGCGGGGATGAGGCCGGAGATCTGGTTAGTGTCTATCTGGAGCTGGAAGAGCGACGTGAGGTTGGCAAGAGAAGGCGGTAAGGATCCGGAGATGTTGTTGTCACTTAGCATGAGATCTTGGAGGTTCGAGAGCGCGCCCAAAGATGGCGGGATGGCGCCGGAGATGGAGTTGATGGAGAGGTCCATGGATCGGAGGGAAGAAAGGCCACCGAACTCGTCCGGGATGGGGCCGGAGAGCACATTCTGCCACAGGAGAAGCCTCTCGAGCTTCGGCAGCCGCCCGAGCGACGGTGGCAGCGGACCGGAAAGCGAATTCTCGTAGAGGTAGAGGTTGACGAGCGACGAGCAGTTGCCGAGCTCCGGCGGGATCGACCCGGACAGCATGGTGGTGTAGATGGACAGCGTTTGGAGATTGGACAGCCGGCCAAGCGACGCCGGAATGGGGCCGGATATCTTAGTATCGGCAAGGCCGAGGACAGATAGGTTGGCGCAGCGGGAGAGGGAGTCGGGTATGGATCCGGAGAGGTCGCGGTTGCCGCCGGCACGGAGGGTCTCGAGGAGGGAGAGGTCTCCGAGGGAGTCCGGGATGGGGCCGGAGAGACGGTTGTCGAAGATGATGAGGTGGCGGAGGCTGGCGGCGGCGCTGAGCTCCTCCGGGATGGGGCCGGAGAGCTGGTTGGAGTTGATTATGAGGGAGGCGAGGTATGGGAGGCGGGAGAGGGCGGGGGGTATGGCACCGGAGAGGGAGTTGGAGCTGAGGTCGAGGAGGGTGAGGAGGGAGCAGGCGGCGAAGTCGGTCGGGATGGTACCGGTGAGGTTGGCATCGGAGACGACGAGGGTGGTGAGGGAGGGTAGGGCGCTGCACAGCCCGACGGGGAGGGGGACGGTCAGGGGAACGGATTGGATGGTGATGGTGGACACGGAGCCGGCGGCGTTGCAGGTGATGTGGCTCCACTTGCACGGCGTCGCGTGCGCCGGGTTCCAGTCAGAGAGCGCTCTGGATAAGGGGGAGGAGGAAGAGGAGTTGATCCACCGGTAGAGCGCAGTGACTTCTTGGTTGGCAGAAGCTAGCGAAGAGGAGGAGAAAGACGGCAGTAAGAGTATCAGCGGCAGGAGGAAACAGAAGCGGAAGAGAGGGAGGAGGAGGCAGTTGTGGCATGGGAATGATGGAGGGTGGCCAGCCTGCCTCGACCTCGACCTCGACCTCGGCATCATCAAAGCCCCTCCTCGGCTTCAAATCCCAACTCGCTCTCCTCCCCCGGTGCTCTCTCACTTCTTGTTTTGCATTGGGTATCCCCTCTTTGTTTGCTCTCCCTCCCTCCGCTTCCCCTCTTTTAAATCTCTATTCCCTGAGCACCTCAAAGCCTTTTTCATTTGGGTACGATCCACCGAGTTCAATTATTCGGAAGGGTGGGACGCGAGTCCGGCGCACTGGGTCGCTTGCAACGTCGGATCGCATGACGCGCGGGGCAGCAGCAAAGTGACGACGTGCCTTGGTGGGAGGAGCTGCTGTGCAGGTGGCTACTGTTGCACTCCCTAAACAAGTTCTATGGATTCGCGCGGTGTGTTGAAACGGGATGCTCTCTCTCTCTCTCCCCCCGGTGGCGAGTGTCGTTTCGGAAGACACGGAGCATCTCAACGCAGTGTTTCGTGTGGGATAGATAAAGAAAGATAAACACAGTAACGACACGAACAAAACGTAACTTGTGAGAGTTACTGATATGATTCTTCGATCTTGCTCCTTACGGTTTTTGCTATTGTCTCTTCCACAGCGAGACGGTGCTGAGCTCTACTCACCCTTCTCTCCCTTTCTTGTGGCTGTGGCTTAGATGGCTTGTTGGGATAGGCTCTGAGCTCCCTCGTTCGAAGCTCCAAAGCCTAATAAATATGCAGTGCTTGTGACGGTGAAGCGTGTCGCTATACTTTTTAGAGGCCGGTCATGTTCGCGTGGGTGTGTCCTTTTCTGGTCAAAGTGGGTCATGATGTGTCCCATACAGATAGATCATATTGTACAGAACAAGGTTTGGCCTATAGCCTTAGGACTCCATGAACTCTGACTTCCTTCTTACGATGCATACAGAGTAATCACTCATAGTAACTACACACTGTCTTTATTATGTTTGTCTACTGATAAGAACAGGCTGATTGGTCTGTGGCTTCACATGCACTGCACGTGCTACACACTGATATTACCCACCATTACAAGGGGCAATGTGAGAGAAAGAGAGATAAAATAGAATAACTGATGTCCAAACTCTCCATAGTCATCCATGTTGAGCTCACACCCCATGTTTGAAGTTACCAGTGCATTTACCCACATCCCAAGGCCTAAACCACATGGTGGTAGATTCCACCGTTTCCCCTCCTCCCTCTCTGCTCTAACCGCGTCGATACCGCAACGCAAGAAGCAGTGAGGTTAGTGGATGCTATGCAAAGGGGGGTCAACTTCAGCTACAGTTCCTTGGCCCATACAACATAAAGCTAAGCGGCGGTTTCCGGTGACGCCCTTGTTTTAAGGGTCTTCCGCCTCGGGCCACACACTCCCTACTCGAATCTATTGGGACCTCAGTAGGCATATTGAAAGAATGGGGTTCCTCGCAGGATACTGGTGTGGGAATAGGAGGATCCATGCATATAAAGAGTCTCACGTGACCGAGACTTAAACAAGCGATCCATCTACTTAAAAGCATACAAAAAGAAGATAGGATAAGCTAAAAGAAAACAGAGGATGGTCCTTCTCGATAGCTATAAGCCATGGGGGAAGGTGTGAGTAGGGAGAACAAACCTGATCTTGGTCCAAGTATCCCGGGCTAAAGCAAAGGAAGCATGGACTGGAGCTGCAAGCCGGAGAGAGGGTGTTATTATTAGCCAGCAAAAGCAGCAAGGCACATGGTGGATCACTTGTGCTTTCCTTGACCACCATGGCTGATGTGATGCTGCTTCATCGCCAGTCTTGCCGCTGAAGCAACTCGGTAGCGGTTGGTGGTGGTCCGTGACATGGTGCATGAACTGCTCCCAACTCGCTTGACCCAATAATAGCATTCGATTGGGTTCGAGTCCATCGGATGGTGGAGGAAGAAGACCCACCAAATTACATGGGTCAATGTCGAGTCTCGCCAGCCTAGCGAGTAGAGTCTGCTGAGAACGAGGCTTAGGGACAAAAAGGTTTCCTATATTGCAATCAAAAACAGAGCAAGCATAAAGTATTGATCGAATGATGAATGATTGCTTCCGTTCTCGCACGCACAGATAACAATTTGGTTGTTTATCTCCTTTGCACTCACATATATGACTACTTCGAGTCAACGAATGCATACTCCTGTTCTGTATCAGGCTCCTTAATGCTTATTAGTAATTGGGAGGCAACCAAACATGGTCATTGATCACGCAAAAGGGCATGATTGGGTGGCCAACAGTGGGTGACAGGGTGCAGAATTGGCCATGGTTGGATCACAGCTTCAATATCTTGTAATATTATTAAGCTCAGAGCTGTATTCGTGCAAGGAGAGGAAATAGCAGATAAGATTTCCTCAACTGCACGAGGAAATCTCTGAGCAGTTGAGGAAAATCCTCTCTGCCTGCTATCCGCCAACGCCGCCCACACCGAGCTAACGTTCCGACTCAACGGAGGACAGTTCATCGCTGCAGTTCATCGTCACAGCAGCTGTCGCAGCAAGGCAACTCGCTGCTCACGACGCCGGACTTCGCGGGCGTCGTACGTGTCGTCCGCCTCGGAAACAAAGGCGCTGGCCACACTGTCTTCTTCCACCGCAGCGACGCTTCCACCGCTGGTTCCCCTGCTCCACCACCGCCACTGCTTCCCGGACAAGGCAACTCATCGATTCCTCTTCTTGCGCCACCATAGCTTCCTCTTCTTCCTCACTGCTCCGAGCGTTCTCTACCTCAGCAGCTAACCTCGCATCCCAGCAGTAGGGATCGAGATAGGCGGTGGACGTGTGTGGGGCGACGTCCACGGAGCCGTTCTTCTCCCTGACTCTGCAGTTGGCCATCGGACACATCTTGATGCTGTCGATCTCTCACATTGCTCCCAGATCTGCAGCCATCACCGCAAAGCACCATATCTAGTCAATCCGGCGACTTCGAACTGCTACCTCGGAGTTTTTCTCTCTAACAGTGACAGCCTGTGAACAACACCAAAGCTGTTATCTTCATCAACCGCCCCAATCTCGGTAGCATAGAACATTGGAGATCAGCATTGCTGCAGCTCTCTTGAGCATTGCTATATCTCTCTTCAGCATTGCAAACCGTATTGCAGTCCTGATCTACAAAATTGTAGCAACTTAGCCTCCAAATGCAGCGACCCTACAGCTGACTACTCCCTCGTATACGTATCTTCAAATGTCTTCATCGTCTACCTCTGATATCCCAGTTGTTATCCCTGTAGGGAACCATAGCACTTTTCAATCTACAGGCCTTATCACTATCAATGTAGCAGCACTCATTCCATTCAAATTATCCAAAAACGGAAACTATGCATCTTGGCGAGCACAACTTTCTAATCTTCTATTTGGATATGATCTTCTAGGTTACGTTGATGGCTCTCTCCAATGTCCATCTGCAATGGTTAATATCCCCGGAGAACCAAGTCCAGTACCAAATCCAAACCATAAATTATGGTTACGTCAAGATCGTCTTATCCTCCAAGCTATTCAAGCTTCCGTCGCTGGGTCCATTGCTCCACTGATATCTTCATGTACGACTGCCGCAGAAGCATGGTACAAGTTGCAAACCACTATAGTAAATCACTCCCGTACAAAGAATTGGCAGCAACAGCACAAAGGTTTGGTTATGTTGCCTCCTAACTCTATGGGTCACAAACCAAACCCCCTTCTTCCACATCATCAACACTTCAATCATCACTATCAAGATGGAAACTTCCATAATCATCAGCCCTGGAGTCCTGACCTCACTAGCCAACAAAGAGTCATCTGTCAATTGTGTGACAAAGTTGGACATTCTGCGAAGGTCTGTCGGTCTCGACCTACTCCTTCACGATGGTCTCAGGCGAATCTCATGACTACTCCAACTACTCACCAACCTAATTGGATTGTGGACTCTGACGCCTCTCATCACATCACATCTGATCTTCAAAACTTATCCATCCACAACAACTATGACAGCAATGAAGATATCATCATCAGTGACGGTAAAGGAATTCTCATTGCACATATTGGTTCTACATCGCTTAGTTCACATAACACAACATTTACACTCGATGATGTTTTGTGTGCTCACATCAAACGCAATCTCATTTCCATTTCTCAATTTTGTAACTAAAATAATACCTCTATTGAATTCTTTCCTAACTCATTTTTTGTCAAGGAATTGAGCACGGGGGCATCTTTGGTCCGAGGTCAGAGTAAGGACAACATTTACGAGTGGCCGTCAGTTACACAAATCACCCAGCCTACTGCCTGCTCTTCCATCGTAGCTCCAATTGATGTATAGCATCGTCGTCTTGGTCATCCCTCATCTTCTATCCAGTAAAAATTATTTTCTCATTTTTCTTTTCCTACTATTAAAAACGGTAACATTATATCTGTGATACTTATTTAAGTAATAAAAGTCAGATTTTTTTTTGGAATCTCTTCCATATCATGCTCTAGACCTTTTGAAATTATTTATACTAATGTTTATGGTCTTGCCTCGATAACTTCTTTTGATAAGTTTAGATTTTATGTCATTTTCGTATACTATTTTATCAAAGTATACATGACTATACCCTCTCCATCATAAATCTGAAGTTTCAATAATTTTTTTCAACTTTAGACGGTTGGTCGAGAACTTCTTTCAGTCTACAATCAAAACAGTTTACTCTGATAGAGATAGTGAATATCAATCCCTCACATCCTATCTCTTAGCTTGTGATATATAACATCTTAAGCCGCCCTCACATACTCCTCAATTAGTTAGTTTTGCTGAATGCAAACATCGATATATAGTTGAAATCGACCTCAAACTCCATCAAACTTCCATGCTAATCATCTTTTGGTCTGTAGCTTTTCAAATTGCCGTCTACCTCATCAATCGTATGCTCACTCAAGTCCTTCAATACCAGTTACCATTTGAAAAGCTGTTTCACAAATCTCCAAACCTTCAAAAACTCAAAGTATTTGGTTATTTGTATTATCCATGGCTACGTCCCTATGCCTCGCATAAGCTAACATCATGATCTAAACCTTGCATTTTTATTAGATATTCTCTTAAACATAACGATTTTCATTGTTCCGAACCCCAAACTCAAAAAGTCTTTATATTACATCATATTATTTTTATGGAGTCTATCTTTCTATTTCAAAATCTTGAGTCTCCTATTGTGCGCCCTTCTCCGACAACTATACATCACTAGAGTACATTGTCGATCTCGTCAAATGAGTCTCCCACAACACCACTCGATCATTCTTCTCAGGATTCACACAATCTCCCGGTTCAGTAGCGCCTCACTCTCTCTATTGCTTGTCTCCCTTTATCAAGGTTCACGTATTGCTTGCCAATAGAGAGCTTGTTCAGGGCTCACCAACAGTTCTTCAAAATGGCACTCCAGAGGAAGGCGACAGAATTTTCTGATACTACTATCATGTAATCAGTGAAGTTGGTGGCCAATTTCCATCGACAACAATTTGTAAGCCGGTTGACCGGAGTAAAGATCTAGCTTTTTCGATTGTCGATGATGCTCATGCAACCAGAGCTTCCTATGGGCATACAAAAGACCTAGACAAATGAGGGAAGTGAAAGTTCGCTGAAGACACAGAGCAGATGAAATGCAACTTCCGGTGTTTCACAAGTGAGACATTGCAGAAAAAGCTAGATTTGCGGAATCGGAATCGAATTCGAAACATAATAACATAACAGACCATTGCAAATCACATATCAACCTTTCATGCTCACCACTCTAACAGTTCGACAAAGATGGACTGAACTTGTAAAGCTCTACTCAAGAATCAGAACCCTCCTCGCTATCATAACATGGGGCTCTGGACTGAATGGTTACACGAGCTCCCGATGTAAGTCTGCAAGAAGCAAGTACAATCTATCAAGTGAAGAAGCAGCACTCGATCACAATAATGGTTGATTAAGGGCAAGGAGAAACATAACTTTCCTCGATCATGATCACCTTCTCCTTTCTTTCTTTTGTAGATTCTACACCAGTGGATGATTCATTGACTGACAAGGTGATCCTTTGGTTTTCACTTTGAGATACTTCCCTGCAATCTAGTCCAGCAGAAGATTTCCTCGAGCCATCTGAGATAGATGACATACTTGCTTCACTTTTAGGCTGCTTGTTAATCGTACGAGGGAGACACTTCGAGGGTGATGAATCCATTAGCTTAGCCGTGCCCTGCTCTGAGTCTGGTGTCTTGCAATTCCTTTGAATTATCGAGTTATATATATGAAGCGCTAATTTAGCAGCATCATCAAAAGAATAAGAAGCACAGTGCAAGCTACTACGGAGACTAAACACTTGGATGTATGTGTATTGCTAAATAAATACTAGGATAAGAATGTAAGAATAAGAATCAAATACACAAGTAAACTTTTTCAACCGTATTCATATATAAGAATATGACTTCTTGTCAAATCCCAGCTTATCCTGCCATATTATCGACAGCATTTGCTTCTTTGGACTCAACTTATAATGATTTAAGTTCATCAAGTCAAGAAAATTTAGAGTAGTATGCAGTAAATACCCTACATTTAGATGATAATGGAAATACTCTCACCGAAAAGTGCTTGACATGTGGTAACCTAGTCAACATGAGGAGAGTAAGAGACAAATACTAAGGGAATATTTTGCTTATACCTCATAATACTCTATGATGATAGCATGACCGAAATGACCTAAAGTGCTCCCTGTGATGACAGCACGACTAAAGCACTTATCTATGACAATAGCACAATCGACACGATCTAAAGCGCTCTCCTACGATGACAGTGCAACTAAAATGGTCTGAAATGCTCCATACGATGACAGCATGGTCAACACGATTCAAAACGCTCCTTTATGACAACAACACAACCAAAATGACCTGAAGCACTCCCTATAATGACAACGTGACCAACACAGCTTGAAGCACTCCTCTATTATAACAATGTGACCGAAATGGCTCAAAGCGCTCCTCTATGATAATAACACAACCAAAATGGTCCAAAGTGCTCTCTACGATGACAGTATGACCAACATGGCCCAAAACACTATGACAATTTCAACCAAATGCTCGAGGTGCGCAACTCGACGAGTGCCTGAGGCAACCAAGTTGATAGGTGCCTGAGGTGCCTTGGTCGAATGCTCGAGGTGGCTAGGTTAGTCAACACCCGAGATGGCCAACTCGATTAAACACTTGAGGCAACCAGGTATCTGAGCCTCCCTTTTGATCACATCATATTTCTTACACATGCGATCCAAAACCGAATCGAGTTGATTTGGACATCATCAAGATCATCACTTTTCAGCTTATCACTTGCCCACTACAAGCTTCAAATATCAAAATCCAAGGACGTTATTCATTATAAAAAAAAACAATCTCATAACACAATTATTGACATTTGCCACTGTGGACACAAAGATAAAGATGATTTCAAATGGATGTAAGTAATTTTTCTTTCTTCATTTTGATAACCAACACAGCTCATGTCAGAAAAAAAAAAAACAGTTTAAAATTTGCTCAAGGAGTAATCAATACTACCATCTAAGATTAGCTTAAAAATGAGCTGAAATTCCGAATTCATCCACAGGTCCTTGTCTTTATTTAGGAAACTACTAATAAGTCATTCTTATCAACAATGTTCCAACTGCATAGTTACTGGTTATGACTTTTGGTGATTTTACTGATTTAAATCGACCAAGATTCTCTAGTTATCTAATTCAGAGTGGACTAAGATGTAACATTAAACTTCTCCTTGAATAATACCTATAATAATAAATAAATAAATATGGCAGTTAAACTTAAATATGCATTTGGACACAAGAAAAAGCCCAGAAGTACCTATCTGCATTGTATGAAGAAGAGCGTTTAAGAGTGGGCAGCATCATTTCTCTTACTATATTCTTGTACTTCTTCAGCTCAATCAAGCTCCCACTGAAATATTCCTTGCTTTCTACTCTCGATCCCATTAGCCTCGGATGCTCCGACAGGTAGTCAATCTCTCCAAGCATCATGGATCCACCAAACATTGGCGAAGATAAATTTACATGGGAGAGTCTCGGCCTGTAGGTCGGCACCAGACCAAAGCTGTGGTGATCCTTCACAGAGATTGATCCACATGTAATTAATTGCATCAACACATTTGTTGGCCTTAACTTTGGCTTTGCATGAAAGAGGGCCTCCTCTTCCTCCTCCTCCTTATGCATCCGAAAGCTCTTTATCTTACTGGCATCAGCTCTAATTAAAGATTCCAAGGTCTCCATCTTCCCACTAGAGGATGAATTGCTCCACGAAGTTGGTGCCGGTGAAATTGCATCCCCACCAGTCTCTAAGTGCTCTTTGGATCGCTGGTCATGGTTCCGCAGCCTCTTATCAAATTCAAGATCCACCGAGCTGTCATCAGTTGAAATTCCTCGGGTGAAGATGGCACGACCTCCACGGGCATTCATCTCTCCGTCGTCATCCGTCTGAGTCGAAGCATCTGCAGCATTGACGGACTTATAAGCTCGGGACTCTGTTGGACCCACCAAACTCTTCTCCCATGCTGGAGGCCTTGGGGATCCAAGACCTGGACAATGAAGCAAAGGGGAATGCTCATCGTCGCGAGGGGAAGGCGGTGGCTTTGGCTGTTCGATTGCAGATGAGGCAGGGGAAGAGGAGGAAGAACCGGCGGCTTCTTGAGTTCTTGAAATCGCGGGGTTCTCTTGCTGCTGGGGCTTCAAGTTCAGCAACCTGCTGTTGCCATTGCTTTGATGAATCCGATCTAGATGAGCAAAAATACGAGACAACATTTGTGATTACACTTCCTTGGCTTTCTATCACAAGTACAATTCCGAAACAAGTTTCATGTTGGGAAAAATGATACTACGTTTTTAGGTACCTGAAGGAGACTGATCTAAGAGCTCGGAGCCCTTGAGAACGTACTCGTTGCCATTAGCCGGGAGCACGAGATCATCCTCGGCGAGGTCATGCCACACGAATCCATTCTTGTAGCTCCTGAATCATCACCCCCGTAGACATTATTATAAACTGAAGCAAAAAAAGAAACGATTTTTACCACCAAACTACCTCTTGCAAGACCACGAATACATGGCGGGCATTCCCTTTCCTCTCAACACGTTGAGCCGATCGATCACATCTACAGAATAAGACAGGATGTAACCCCATTCAGCGCAATGATGATCACGATAAATCAATAATAAGACAGGATTGGGTTTGATTAGTACAGCCGACCTCTCAGGTACAGCCCGTCGGGGGAAGAGAGGGGGACTTCGATGAAATGAGGGTGCTCGAGGTGGCGGTTCCGACAGAGGTAATACACCACGGGGATCTTCCTCCCCTGGGGCAGCGGCGGCGGCGGCGGCGATGGCGGCTCCGCCCAATCGCGGGCGCTCTCCGGACTGGCAAGGCCGCCGTACTTCCTCGCTCGCTCCTCCATCACTTGCTTCCTATCACTCTCAACGGTAGTGGAGAAAGGGACTCGATAAATGTGGGATTTTGAAATGCGTACGGATAGGGACTGTGAAGGCGAGCAATGAAGCGAGATGATGAGGCGTTGCTCCTGCCCTGCGTTCCCAGCCAAGCTTGGTGGCGTTCGCGGAGGGGGCGAAGGAAAAAGAATGCAGTTGCGTTCGAGCAGCGGAGCATTGATTGCTCATGGGGAGCGGGGGAGGGACGAAGCAAAAGGCCTCGGGAGCCCCAACGCTCGTTGGAGCCATTCGGTTGTCCAACCTCCAACGAACGACGACGACACGTTGGATGATCCATTAAGATTCGGATAAACAACCGTTGATCTCATATCGAATCTTATATTAAAGTATTGTCCCTCCAACCGTGGCCCACCTGGCAAGTTTGACCGACTTAAGGTACGATCTACGCCATTACTTGAATTGGGACACGAAGCGACCCTCGTTACTTCAATACTTCATCCCAAACTTGACATCAGAAGGAGTCAATGCAACCACCACTTGGACTTGACATAAAGTAGAGATAGCAAACGATTCAAACATAAGGGTCCAATTTGGATCAAAAGCGGATGTCGGTACCCGATAATGGTCTCGCGTGGGTGAATGCGGACTATATGACTCGGATCAATTGGGGAACAAATTCTCGCGCATGATTCGAGTACATTTTATGGTGCGCAAGGACGTGCCGTCGCTCTCATGAGCTTTTTAGTTGGCATGGGGGCGTGTGTGAATCCCGAGAGGACCAGTGATTGACTCCTGTAATGGGATAATGATGAGAGAGAGGCACATGGGAGGGAGTGATTCAATTGTGATTGATGATGACGAAGGGAAGGCTCCGTGATCGACGAACAAACAGTGTGCGAGCGATCGGGTTCAGTCGCTCGGTGTCCCGTCGAGCGCGGCCGTAGGAGGGACGGAAACAGCTCCCGCCGCTGCTCACCGCACTGCGGGCAAAAGCCTGTGCGTCTGACATAGTTTCATAGCGATGAAGCGTGGTGGAGAGGTGCTACTGCAGCAGCCAGTAGGGCTCGTGACGAGTTAAGTGACACTTTCTGGGCTGTGCTTTTCAAAGAAGACAAGAAGACATTGCATGATCAGATTACTCCAAGAACGTGACTACAAGTGCTTTGATGCATTAACAGCACTTTCATTGTTCAGAAGTTCCAATCTAATAGCTGCTACGTGGGTACCTGATCAGGAGTGGATCGTATCCAGAATGATACTTCTCACAGGTTTTTGTTCTTTCTTGTAGATTTGTAGCTCAAGCCTTGTGCTTTTCTACCTTCGTCTTGATCGTGCACTCTAATAGACAGAAACCACGACCAATTTGCGACCTCGTAGCCTTCGCTCTCCAACCCACAGCAAGTCTGAATTGGAGAGAACTTATTGTAAACATGACCACCAAGACACTAAACTGTAGAAAAACTTGCAATCCTTTCGATTCAGTGGTATGATCCTGAGTGACACGAGTATTCGGAGTAGAAAGATCTCCAATGACTTCGTGCATTGATTCATTGGCAACAGCGGAGTGAACAGAAGAAAACCAAACAGGAAAGGTGAAATTGATATTCGAGCAATAATGCATGAGATAAGTCGGTTGAGGAAGACGAGGGGAGAGGGAAAAGTGGGACCGCTTGAGTCTGTAGTCCCACATCGCTTAAGCAAGCAGGTGGAAGGCTCAATGGTTGTATATAAACATGGGCTTCAGGCCAGCAACAATCACGCAGCTGCGTGGTGAGCACAGAGCGAGCTATTCTTTCGCCTTTTACTAAAGAATACCGTGTGCTCGCCACATAAAGCAGTGTACGCTAATTTTTGAAGGGTTCCTTTTCGGTTAAGATTTGAGACCCAATAAGTCAATGTCAATCTTTTTGTACTCTCTTATGCTTAGTCAGATTAAGTGGCCAATTGGTTCGTTTCGAAACTCTTTGAACACCAACGTGACCAAATCGTGACAGTGGACCATTCAGCCACCAACCCCATCCAATGTGTTAGGTAAAACCACCAACAGTGACTTGTTACGTTGCACAATACACAATGGACAAACTTTGAGAGTCATACGGCGAAGGGAACTTCTAATCCTGACGATTTAATCTCATCATCGGCAAATAACAGAGCAACAAAGCGGAACGAATACAGAAATTTATACTCAACGCATGAGATTGTGATTCGATGCTCAAATGATTAGTAGGTTGGGGAAGTGGGAAAAGTGAGGCCAGCTCGGAGCTTTAGTCCCATATCGATTAACCAAGCTGGTGCACGGGCCAATGGTGTGTCTATAACATGGGCTTCTTCCAGACGCAACTCACGCAGCTGCGTGGTGAGCACAAAGCGAACTATTCTTTCGCCTTTTACTAAAGAATACCGTGTGCTCGCCACCTTAAGCAGCATACGCCAATTTTTGGAGGGTATCCCACTCTTTTTAGGGTGGGCCCCGTTAAGTCAAAGTCAAAACGTTTTATCCTCCTTGGGTTTCGAGTTGGATGAAAACTGGGTTCTCTTTGTCTACTCTCAACGCATTTACGATTTTTAATTTTGGAATAAGTTTTAATCGTCTATTTGATGTAGAATTAGAAGCGAATTCAACTGACTTTTATGCGATTATGTTGCAAAGTTTTCCTATATAAATATATGAGATATTTTATCCAAGAAATTTATTTGCGTTTATGAAGCATAAGCATATTTATTTTCGTTTCTTTATTGCTGTCACTAAAAGTAAACGCAAAGGGCAACATTTAGCGCCCAACGATTTCCAACGGTTGCACTCGCAGCTGTTCCGTATCTGCCAAGAAAACCTAATAGATTACTGTTCGCCTTTGGTGAGAGTGCGAAGCACACAAAAGCTTTACGCCGCCACAACTGGTTGCTTAGCTGCACTTTTGGTGCCACCACTCGAAGGACCTTTTGAGATAAACTAGAGGGCAGTGCACACTATTATAGCTGTCGATCATAGGTGTAGATGGATTATGAACGGCAGCAGCCCAATCGACCATGTTCCATTGTCAAACACCTCCTCCCCCTCACCATCTAAACCTGGAAGACACATCTCATTCATTTCTGGCTTGATCAACTCAGCTCCTGGGTGCAGTTCTTGGACTTTCCTGGAACGAAAGCAGTGTGTGACACATTGGCCTCACTGGTTATCTAACTCACGTCTGCCCTCGGCATCTCTCGACAGGGATTAATTGTCTTACAAACGAGACAAGCTCAAGGTAGGGTGAACTACTCAGCGACTCTTCGAAAGGGAGAGAAGAAAACAAGAGACTGTTCACCTTTACGTCACCGCAATGTCATCAGTCTCTCAATCCACAGATGTCAAGCATATCTCTTCTTAATTAGTGCCATGTACATCAAAGAAAATAATTCAGAGAACCATTAATCGGTATGAAGTCGTGAAGAAACAAGGATGAATTGTTCACAGCAGCCACAACAACCCAAATTGTAATCAGTCAAAAGTAAAGAAAGAATTGTGATAATGGACATATTTTGCCTTTCGTTGGTCAACGCGGTGGCGTTAGTAATGGCAGTCGACCACCAAGGCCGATGCCGACGCCCGGAAGATGAGCGGGCGCTTGCTGGCCAATGAGAGCGTCGGCGAAGGCGGCCTCTGGAGCCCGTCGTCTGCGGGAGCGGGGAGGTTCAGATCCAACGAAAGAAAGCTCTTGTCCTTCTTGGCTTCTTGGCTGTCTGCGGCGCCCAGCGGCTTGTGCCGCCTCATGTGGCCTCCGAGCGCCTGACCGGAGCTGAACTCTGATCCGCATATCGAGCACTCGTGGACCTTCGGCTTCGTGTTCGTCTGCCCACTGCCCGCGATCGGCTTTGAGAAGGAATTCATACTGATTTGAAGGATATCGTCGCCGGCCGCCAGCTTCTTCTCCTCCGCGGTCGTCCCGGCGGCTAGCTTGGTCTTCCTGTGGCTGGTCCGATGTCCGCCGAGCGCCTGGAACGACGGGAAGCATTTATTGCATGTCTTGCACTCATACACGTAAATTCCAGCCTTGCCGTTGGTCGTCGTGGCCCCCTCCGCGAGTCTTCGGCTGGTAAACCTCTCGGACCCGCTGCCGCCGGCGACAACACCGCCGGCACCGCCCTTCTGCTCTTCTAGATTGGGCCCGGCGTCCAACGTTCGGCCCTGGGCGAGAAGGATGAGACAGTTGGCCATGTCCTCCTCCTCCTCGGTGACGGTCCCAGAGGCGGCCTCGGCCGAGGAGGCCGATAGCGAGTCGGCGACAGCCATGGACAGCACAGGCGGCGGCTGTGTCCTCTGGCGCTTGGTGCGCTTGCCCTTAACTACTGCATGAACGAATTCATCATTGGATGCGCTGTCGCTGTTGTTGGAATAAGCCGTGGCTTCCTCCGGAGTTTCCATCTCCCTTAGAACGAGAGGAGAGGTGGAGGAAACTAGAGAGAGTGAGTGGAGGTGCTAAAACAATAAGAAGGCTTATTGCAAGACCTGTCTTTATGTATATATTTATACATCCACAGATGGGAGTCAAATGCCGCCCCTTGCTATTATTGTAAGAGGATAACCATGACTTGGCCTCACTTGCTCACATACATGGCCTTCAGCACTAAACATAGGGAAAATTAGGTGGACACAGGAGAGGTGTGGAGTGAAGGGAGGAACAATAGCAAAGGACAGAGGGGACGGACTGCACAACACCAACCAAAATGCCTAATCCTGGAGCTTGTTTGCTCTCCTTCTCACTTAGCTATGTTTTGTGGAGGAAGGAGTTGGCCACACAAACTGTCACAGGGCCCAAGGATGGTGACATCGAGACTCGCAAAAGGTTGGCATGCACCATAAAAGTCATGGGGTGGAGGTCAGTAACAACGTGAGGAGGAAACGAGAACAACAAAGGAGATGATGGGGAGTACCTGACGATACCCTCTGTGAAGAACCTACGCTCACACGGAAACTACGCTCCTCCTCCCTTTGCTTGCTCGCAGCTGAGTTCCAATTGGGCTTGTTTAGCTAAAAGCTTACCTTGTTTTAGTTTCCAGCCATCTAATATATCTGAGGTAAACAGAGCAAATACAATGGGCGATGCACGCCTCTCGAAGCCAACAGAGCTAACGATGATGGGGACTGGTAGCAGGTGGTTCCTGCAGCTGTTGGATTTCTTGCAGTGGTTGATCAACTAAAGGACCAATTAGCACTCTCAAAAGTATATCACAGTCCCAAATATCACTTAGAATTAGTAGTTGACTCTTGATTTCTAGCAGAGATTTAAACTATATATATGGAAGCCACGCATAAAGAAAAGCACCATAAGGTGTTGGTTAGTATTACTTGCCCCTCAACTGCACTCGAACACACACACACACACCCACGTCTCTCTCTTCCATGATTGGATCGGGAAGGAGGACTCCATGACTTTAGAATAGCTTGACACAGGATTCATGGGTTCAAACAACTGGACGGTTTGTTGGTAACGATGACGGACACATAATTTATATAGCTGGTTAGATGTGTGATGCATGTTCCGACTGTGAGGCGGAGGTGATGAGCAAAGCTAAGCAGATTAATGTTTTGTTCTTTGTGTGAGGCATGAAAGTTTCAGCAACATTATTTTGCCAGCAAAGACATCAGTTGATGGATCCCTCTCTCTCCTCTCCTCTCAACTTGCAACCAGTGATCTCACTCGATCCCCACCTAAGCGATATTTAATGACAGAGACTCTCCTGTACTGGTTGTTGGCAGACATCGCCCAATGTGGAAGATACTAAACTCTTACTACCTTACTGTAATTAAGGGAGCAAGCATGCTATTATATCTGGGGTGAGATCCAGTTTGTAGCGTCATGCCGCTGCACTTTGTGGTGTGCGATCGACGTGCTCGGATGATCGATGTGCCATGTATTTTCCTGAACCGGATGTTATTATTGGAAACTATGCAGGTTTTGGTTGATAATTGTAATATCATAGAGAGATTGCATTCTAAATAGGTGAGATGTTTGCTGGTTTCGTTAGTAAAGATGTTGTTCCTCTTTGTTGGCATCAACCTGAGCAGCGAAGTCAATGACACCTCTCCCCTCTTTATTATAAGACCAGTTCCTAAGTTGATGGGTACCGATCACCACCTCTCTTGCATGATCACATGCGTTCTTCCCTCTGCTAATTATCCAACCTCGATGCTTCCCTTCCAAGAGAGCCAGAAGAGGCGTATAGTGGCCACAGTTGTTGCTCTCTGTCTTGGACATTAAGCCGGTGGGTGTTTTTGTGCCAAAGACATGCATGTTATGACATCACAGTGTTTAAAATCCATACATACATATATCTCACTCGTTCATCAGAAATATAACTTGTGGTGAGATCCTAAATCACTTGGATAGATGTCTTGGAGTGGAAGTAAGGAGCAGGTAGCTTTGTTGAACTTAATTGTTCTCTACCACTTGGATCTGAAGATGAGTTCATTAGTGTCGGATGGCATGTGATGTATTAGAATGGACAAGTGGGGTCTGAACACATCTTCCAAAGCCAAAGACCTCGTACCTACTCTCTCTCTCTCTCTCTCTATCTTTGTGTCACTTGTACATCCAACGTTTGAGGAAGCTTATTCTTTGGAGAATAGAAGCCGATAACAATGGGAGACACGAGCCTTTGGACTCGCCGATAAGTGAGCAGCGTCTTTGTGAGTACGTTACTTTGTGATGCGTGAGAATTAGCCGAGGAGGGCGATTGGGCATACTTCGGCCGACCGGTTTAGGGGTCACGAGAACAAAGCTGTTCGCGGCCCAATCCGTAGAAGACGGATAGTTGGGCCTCACTTGGCCCACGAAGATAGGATGATGGTGGACACGATTTCTGACGAAATTGCACTGATCGTGACGCACACTTGGGTGCTGGAGATCCATCCGTCAGTCACGAGCACCTGTTGCGCACAGGCTCGTCGACTTAACGGATCGGATCTACGTTAATAGTAGAAAAATCAAGTCGACATGCGATCATTCAAGGCATCTATGCGAAGCAACCGCTCCGACCGACGTCATCCTCGACGGATCACAATCAGGAGTTTGGGATTAAGGTGCTGACGATGTTACTAATCTGTGGACTGTTGGTGGCCCCCGCAACTTGGGATGAGGAGGCATCTTCCATCTCTCTCTCTCTGTCCCCACAACCCCATCACTTGCCCCTTTCAAAGCCCCTAATTTGACTTTGTTGCGCGTATATTCTAAAATAATTTTTTTAAAAGATATTTAAATTAATTCGTGTATTATTGTACGTCTATTGATGTAATAAAAATTTTAGATAATTTATAATAAAAGATAATTACCGACTCGTTTGATCCTTTGAGATATGCTTTTGGGCGTTCAATCCTTTCGTCCGAACCAGGCCATGATTTCTGCTACGGGACACGGGGTGGCGGCCGCCTTCGCTACATCCGCCTGCACGTAACCAACGTGGCTCTGCCTCCCCCGTCATTATCCTCTCGCTCCTCGAATCTCACCACGACCCACGCGCGCCCACCCGCCCACAGATATGTATCTTTTCTATGTAGCGTTTATATATCGTGCCATCTCCGAAATCAATATGTCAACAGCTCTGTTCTCTTCCCTTTCTTAGTTCCTCCCCGATGGTATAGCTTCATTGCACCGGACTGGTAATTGTTCCCTACCTCGATTCTGTCTTTGCTTTCTTTACCTTCTCCTTTCCCCCGAAATGATCATAATAGAACCTCCGTTGCTCGTTTTTATCTATCGTCAATTGATGGGCGTGGATTAATAGGTGACCGAAAAGAGGGAGCTGTAAACGAAATTTGCGATCTCGGATCTGTTTCGTGGGTCGAATCTCGTTTCTTCTGCTTCGGTTTCTGAGTCCTTTCTCTTTTTGTTTGTTTCAGGTTGTGACGCAAGTAAGGATAGCAATCTTTGAGCAATCGCGGAAAAGATGGAATTGGGAGCCGGGCAGTACGGGTAGGTTTCTTTCGTCCCGATCCCTCTTCTTGCTTCTGAACAGGTAATGCCAAGTTCTGATTTGTGGCTGCAATGTCATTGTTTGGTGGAACAGCTGCTCGCACTACAAGAGGAGATGCAAGATTAGGGCGCCGTGCTGCGGCGAGGTGTTTGATTGCCGGCATTGTCACAATGACGCCAAAGTGAGCCTTCTTGATTTCCTGACCGATGCTCTGTCGGGGTATTACGAGATTTTATTAGGAACGACCCAAATAAAAGTCTCAGTTTTGATGGTTTTTGTGCAGAATTTGCTTAAGGTCGACCTGCGTGATCGGCATGAGATTCCTCGCCATCAAGTACAAAAGGTTGGAGTTCTAATCGGTCTGTTGATAGTTTGCTTCTGGTTATCCTCTTCTTTTTTCACCTGTTTGAGATCTCATTTCCTTTCTGAAAAATTTCGTTTGTGTGATGTTACTTCGTGGATGAGAGAGGAATTGGCTTTTGTTTTCATTTCACAGAGGTTTTGGTTTTTTGTGTAGATTTTATGATTCAATTCTACTCTTTGTTTAGCTTAGATGAGAATTATAATAGTTAATGCTGAAATAATTTGAATGTTGGAGATTACCTGTGATGATGAAATGTGGATATTTTTGGCTTGCGGTTGTTTGTGGATAAGGTTGATACTTTTGTAGACTCCCCACATCCTTTTATGTCCCTCTCAACTTTCTTTACAATAGTTTTTCTTTTTTGTTTTCCCTAATATTCCTCATTGCTTAATATTCATCACTGATTGTTATTTTTCTTGCGTTTGCTGGATTTCTCAGGTTATATGCTCTCTGTGCAACACAGAACAAGATGTGAGTTCAAAATCTGAACCACTTTAATCTCATACTTTATTTCTCAATATAATTCTGATGTGATCAGTTACTGAATTGGAGCTCTATCAGGTCCAACAATATTGCACAGAGTGCGGGGGTTGCATGGGAAAATACTTCTGTGCTAAGTGCAAGTTCTTTGATGACAATGTAAGTCTTGGAGTCTCAGTATGGCCTTTGGGAAAATTGTAGTGTCGTCTGTGTAGGAAATAAATGTAGGCAGCATATTCTCTATCTCATCTTAACTTTTGCAGCAAAATTTGTCTCTCTTGCTGCTTAAGAGATTTGCCCTTTTCGTGCCAGGTCTCTAAGAAGCAGTATCACTGTGATGGATGTGGCATCTGCAGGTTAGATTTGTTGAATGATGTTTGATGTCACCTACTATGTTTTAGTATGAGACTCGGTTTTCTTACATCTGTTCACTTGTTTAAATGTACAGAACCGGGGGTGAGGAGAATTTTTTCCACTGCGATCGATGTGGTACACTTTTTTTTTCCTCTGTGGTTTGGTATTGCTGATGCCTATTTCTTGATCGAGTAAATTGAAGTTATTTTTCCACCTGGGATGAATGTTTCAGGTTGTTGTTATAGTAACTCGCTGATGGATTCACATCGGTGTGTTGAAAGAGCAATGCACCACAACTGTCCAGTTTGCTTCGAGGTAGACATGTTTGATCAATCAAATAAATTTGAACTGCGATACTGATTTGTTCGTGATCTGATATCATTGTTCCATTTGGCTAGTACCTGTTTGACTCGACGAAGGATATCAGCGTTCTGCCTTGCGGTCACACGATACATTTGGAGTGCGTGAAGGAGATGAGGCAGCATTCCCAGTAAGTGATCAGAAAAGGTCATTAGCTTCAGCAAACATAGAAGCTTTCATATAATCGATTTGAATGCTCTGCTGTGCTGTAGGTACTCCTGCCCTGTCTGCTCAAGATCAGTTTGTGATATGTCCAGTGTCTGGAAGAAGCTTGACCAAGAGGTATCCTATAATTTTCTGAAAACAATTGCTGATTTATTGGCTGCTTTTAAATTTTTTTTTTCATATGCTTAATTTTGTCGCTCAAACATGTTCAGGTTGCTTCCATACCAATGCCGGAAATATATCATAACAAGATGGTAAGCCCTATATTAGTGTAGCAAAGATATCATTTAGGTTTATGGTTTGACAAGATTGGTTCT